CAGAGGAGCCATAATTTATCAATATAAAACAAGAATATTTTCATACTCATAAGGCGTGTTCAGACCTTTATTTTAAAATAGCAGTAAACATGAAAAATCATGAAAAAATGGTAGATACCTCAGTTTGTTTTCATGCCAAAAGTTCAAAAGATAGAATCCATTCAATTATTTTGGAAAAAAAAGGTCTGAAAAGTTTGAAATATCAAGAAAAAAATAATAAATTCACCATTTGTGACGTGGCAGCTAGCTATGACTTACATGCGTGTTCTTTGTATGTGTTTCTTAGAGGTTCAATTCATATCAAAATCTGCCAAACTTCCCATACTACTTCTGAATAGGATCTCTACTTCAGAAATTGTATGAAAATTGTGAAAATAATGGTTCATATCACTCAAAACACGAATGGAAATGCAGGCACCCTTATATGGGCAGTAATGGAGTCTGATTGTGCCCTAGTGAAAAAGTTTGGTACTGCGCTCAAACAAAATCTTACTGAAAGCTCATTTTTTGAGATATCAACCTAAAATTTGAAACACAACTTGTTCAGATTTTTGGCTTTGATCTTTCTGCCATTTTAGAGTAGCCCAGGTTTTGAAAATATATATTTTATGTAAAATATGAATAGTTAATATTTTTACATTGTACATTTCCATAAACTCAAACTTCTATAACTTTTTTTCTGTTTCACTTTCTTAATTTATTTCACTTCTACAAAAATCTGCCAAATGTCTTCTTTAAAACAAGACCAATCATATGTCTATATTCCAAAGCATTCTTGAATTACAACCATTTAAGTTCGAAATGTGCATTTTCATGTCTATTCAAAAAAGGGGGGGTGACAGTTAACAGGTTAAACTAGTGCTTCTGGCCAGGGCTCTGATACCGTTTGAATTTTTATGTGAAGTTCATTCCTCTGATTGCAATCAAAGCACCGTTTTCTACCTGCATGAACATGCCAACATGTTTGAGTTGCAGAGCTAGCCCACGCAACAAATAGGCCTAGTGCAGATAGGACGATCTTTTCCGTTAAATCTTTGTGTTTTGTTTAAACACCTATTGTTTTGCTACATAAGATATTAATTGATCTGCTTCTTGCATTACTTTTGGAGTTTCCAAATGATTACAGTCTTACATTTTCATGATATGCATCTCGATTTTCTTTCTAAAAACGTTTGTGTTCTGCTGAAGAAAGGCAGTTGTGCACATCAGGGATAGCACCAGGGTGATAGGATAATAAGAAATACATTTTTGGACAGATTCTTCTCTTTTTGCTTGTGTTTTATTAAGCAAATTCATAATCTATTTCTTTATTTATTTTCTCTTCATCTACACTGTAAAGTGAAAAATAGTTTGATGTGTCGGTATACTATTATCTTATTTGAAATTTCAGCACAGCTGTAAAATGGAAAACGGTGTTGAAATCGTAAAATTACGGTAAATGGCTGGAACAATTGCTGCCAGTATTTTACTGTAAATTTACGAGTATTTTTTTACCAGTGACTATCACAGATTAGCCTAGTCACCTTTGTACTAGATTTTTCTCCTCGGTTTCCACCTGCATGTCATTTTCCAATCACTCACACCTGCACCATATAACCATATCATATCACCCTCATCATTGCCAGAATTTAACCACACACTTCACCACAGCTCACTGTCGAAATCCTCAGGGGAGTGTTGTTAGTCCTAGCTTGTTCAATATAATAGTATGAAAAACTAGAGAGTAATGAAGGTTTATTATATGGATATGATGCTGTCTTTTTGAACAGAAGATTTCAAATGTTAATGATATGTCAACAGTATCTGCAAAGTGGCAGCGCTTAAAGTTCAGTGTAAGCAGAGATATCGTCTTTTAAAAATCAGGAAGTATATTACCTACAAAAACGACTCGATTGGGACTACAGCTGGGTTATGGTACGTCACAAACCCACACATTTGCATCAACACCTCCCTCAGAATATGCAGAAAATGGCATGCACATATTTCTGAGGCACGTCGACTCGTCGTTATTTCTTTTAACATTTATGGAGAATATGACAACATTCAGTCACTTTAAAAAATCAAACACACATTTGTCACGTTTACATTCTTTTTCTGAGTTTTCAATTGTTTTCAGCCACTTCACAGAGATCATTTGCCTTCCCTCATAGGCGACACGAACCGAACGCCTATTTAGCGCTGATAGCCGAGCTCGCGTTGTCCTACGGGGGAGGGAACTTTTAGCAGGAATATTTCTTGCGTAGTTTTCAGGTCAGTGGCACATCCCCTCCGTTCCCCCATGCCCGGAAACAGCACCAGTCAAATCAACCAGCTACACACCAAGACTGGTGACTAGCAACCTATATCCACACAAGGCTAATTTCAGCTCCAGAGCACTTACGGACAGTAAACAGCCTTGCAACAATTTTAACAGCTGCAAGTCCACCAGGCAGCGTTGTCGGTACTTGCACCGCCACAGCTTCTGCGGCGGTGCTCATGCCCGTCATGTATGCCCTGTGTTTAAAGATTCCGTGAATATTTCTCACATTTCTATCAAACTAGCTCACCACCCGGACTCTGACTTCACCGAATATATGCTGTCTGGCCTACAACACGATTTTAAACCTGGAGTGGTTTGTCCGCTCTCCCAAATCATCATCTGCGATAATCTCCAATCGGCTCTCGCCGAGCCCGACGTGATAGAAAACCTGATTAAAAAAGAAGTCGAGTCAGGCTTCACGATTAGCCCTTTTGACAAGCCTCCTTTCAAAATTTTTCGCATTAGCCCCATTGGAGTGGCTACGAGAAAGATTTCAGGTAAGAAACGCCTCATAGTCGATCTGTCAGCTCCACATAAATCTCTTTTCCCAAGCATTAATTCCCAATCATTCCCCAGCCTGATCCCACTCGACAAATTTTCTCTCAAATACCACGATGTAGATCTGATAAAAATCGTGGGTCGGGGTGCCTGGCCTGCAAAAATTGACATCACTTCGGCTTTTAAAGTGATGCCCATCCACCCGGATTCATGGCACTTATTCAGAGTGCGCTGGCATGGGAAATTTCGCCGTACACTTAACTTTTGCATAGATGCATAATTTGCTCTTGTCTTTTTCCTATTTTCTTTAGCTCCTCAACAATTGTTCCCAAGCTGGTCAACATCTTTTTTTCAAAGGACCTTCTGCGCCTCTCCTTAAGTCGCCGCCATCTCTCCAGATCTGGCCTTACCAGGGACTCAAGCACAGCAGTCCTTCTCTCGGCATGCTCTTCATATGCCTCCAGAAATTGTAAGGGTTGTGATCGTCTTTGCCTGCTTGTGATGTTTTTATTTGGTATGGTAGAGGTTCCTGGCTGTTCATCCATACTAGCACCTGCGGCTGGTCTTGGGAAGATGTTGTGGGCCTAATTTTGGAGGAGGTCTCTTCCAAACCCAGAGGTGTGGAGTGAATTTCAAATGTAAAATGAAAAATAACAAATGTTTCTTGTAAGGCATGACAATGTTATTTCAGAGACAAAGTAAAGCAGTCTTCAACTTACTGTATAGTACTCCTAGGTGATCTTCCCCTCCCCAGTTGCACGGCGCCTGTCTATTACTCTTTTATAAGTGGTTAACAAGTTGTGTAGTTTTTTTTTTTTTGATTTTGTCACAAAATTGACAAGTTATAGCCCTTTTGTGAGAAGGAGTTTTGCATTTTTTTTTATAGAAGGCCATTTTGTCCCTAAAATAAAGTTGCTGATGAGTTTTTGTAAGGTCCAGAATGATGACAATGACAAATGACAATGATAACGTGCGTTTCTTGTTTATTCTCACACCTTTAGTTCCACTAAATCTCACAAATCTGTTTTTTATAACAGTAATCACTCTTTTCATGTAGTCGTTATGTTGTGTTATGTTTATCAAAATAAAACTGATTCAAAAATGTCAATCTACTTCATTGATAGTAGCCATATAGGCTTATTTTGAACTTTATTCTTGTTCAAACAGATGCTGTATGAAGCAGTACATAAAATATTGAATGAAATGCGTCTGAAACATCTGTGTGTTTGGCAAATATATCACTTCAGCTGTGGTAAGGTATGCAAACACCACGTGAGCGGTCACTACTACAGGAACCAGAAAGTGTTCTTCACATCTCTTTGCAGCTCATCTCGCCGATTGGTTACATCCAGCCGCAGCCAATGTCAAACACACATTTTGTCTAACCCTAGTTTCACTGTCATTCATGTATTTATGGGGGACCTACAAACACTAGACCTAAGGTGTCCCACGCAGTGTCCCACATTAGGGCAATTCACCCTACCCCCTTAGAGGGATACTCCATCCAAAAATTTGCATTCTGTCATCATTTACTCACCCTCAAGTTGTTGCAAACCTGCATGAGTTTCTTTCTTCTGCTAAACACAAAGACAGTTGTTTGGCACCATTGACTTCCATAGTAGAAAAAAAAAAATACTATGGAAGTAGATGGTGCCAAAGTTCCAATCGTTCTTAAAAATATCTTCCTTTCAGCAGAAGAAGAAAAAAAAAACTCACACGGGGCTGCAACAACTTGAGGGTGAGTAAATGATGACAGAATTTTCATTTTTGGGTGGAGTATCCCTTTAAAAATACAATATAGCCTATAAAGAATAATGTATCAAAAGTACACAGTAAAAGTGCACCTTTTTTACATTATATATATATATATATATATATATATATATATATATATATATATATATATAGGCCTATATATAATGTATGTAATTTGCAAAACTATATTAATTTTAAAATCTGTGACTTTCCCTCCATGAATGCGAATGCATAAAGAAGCGCACCCCGATATGTTCAAATGCATTGAACAATATGAGCCTCCGACCGACCGGACACTGTTTGTGCTCAAGAAAAGACATTGCGCGCTCTGGCACTGGATATTAGGCATTTTGTGCAAAAGAAATGGCGTGGGAAAATTCACTGAGGGCGGGCTGATTCCGTAGTCGTCTTTCTTTCGTTGTATGCACTCATTAGATCTGGTCCCAGAGCTCACGTGGAGCGTGACTTGAGACAACAGGCTGGTTGCGTAGCGAACTGGCATAGATGAAAGTAATGACAGAGAGACAGACTGTGGTCCAGTTACTGTTTAGTTTTGTTGAATAAGCGGCGCGTGCCTCGATTTGTCTACAGCTGCAGTAAGTATGTGCACGTACTCTTTCCTTCTTGTGACAGTAATCTATGCATGCTTGTATTCAGTTAGCTTTTTTATTCAGTTGGCTTTTTTAACTTGGTTAGCTTTTTGTAAGATGAATCTAACTATGTTTTGTTGTGTAATTAGGCTCTTTAAATGCTTACAATTTTAATCTGAATGTGCATTTGTTCAGTAGATTTGCATACTTTCACATGATTTATTTTATTATAGGCCTATAATCTAAGAAGATGTGGGGCGCCGTCACGTCAATTTTGCCACATTTTCAAACAATGTTTAAAAAACTGGAATGGCTATGAATTTTTGACGGTCACTTTTTAGCACATTTCCAACAATATCTGTTCTGTTATACCGTTACTTTATTTGCTACTTTGTTCCCTATAAAATAGCCTATAGCCTATAAATAAGTTGAGAATTACGCATCTAAAACCACAATCCATGAACGAAAAGCGAGTTAGATATTTTTATTTTCAAGTCACCAACTTCTGCATGACAAAATGTAATTAGATAATTAGATATAGGCTAACAAACTGAACATTTTCAGTTGTATGCTGGCGTAGTGCCAGTGCCGGTGCCACCCAGTGGCAGCTGGCACACCTAATAATGGATGCAGAATTATTTTTTTATAGTCTTGATAAAAAAATGTTTTACTAAACTTGGGTTATTGTTGATTACTTAAAAAATATATTTAAAAAAAAAAACAACACCTTCAAGCGTAAGTTAAACTAATTTTAACTGACCTTTCCCTGGCGACACGTAATGATTGTCACGTGACACACCGCTTTTCATTTAGGCTTGCCTACCATGTCTGATATTCCAATTATTCGTTTAAGAAACCTTTATAAATGAATATTGATCTATATTCTAGCTAGCCTATATAACAAGATGAGCGCCGCAGTTTAGAGAGTCCTGTCATCTGGATTTACAGGACCAGAAATTATCAGTTTTTCCCGAAATACATGAAAGAAAGTGGCCTTTGAAGTTGAACTGGGAGAAGAATAGAGTAAACTTTATAGTTCCGCTATGTGTCTGTATATATATAAATAAAACACATCGGCAAATTGCATTTGAATAGATTGCTGCTTCCATACTAGACATCAGTGTATATTTTACTAACTCCGCTTTACTAGTGCTCGTGTATTTAAATGTCTGAAACCTAAAATCAACATTATGTGGTTGAAAACAATACATAGGCTATCCACAAGTTTCCGGGGGGGCGCTCCTGTAAAAAATAAAGTGGGCGCAACTTCCGGTGAGGCGGTGGAAGTAGCATTCCAATGGTATTTTGCGTGTTATGTAGCGAAGAGGCTAGCTGTTTTTCGGTTAATTATTTTACAATTTAAAGTCTCAACTTTTATGAGAGATGTCATTACGGAGCTCAGGGACAAAATGTGTTGTTTGCGGTTGTACGTGTAACTGGACTAAACTAATTCAGTGGCTTAAACGTGAGTGTTTTGAACATAAGCCTAAAACGAAATCAGAGTGTTCCTGCCAACGACCGTACAGTTTCCATCGCCTCTCAAAAGACGACGAATCAAGAAGAATATGGCTGAAGAATTTAAACTTAAAAACACCGCCAAAACAGCTGTCTGTGTGTTCATTTCACTTCGTGGACAAGAAGCCAACACATGATAACCCGTACCCAACTCTCTTTCTGGGTTATGACTAAAAATTTTAAGTGAAGGCTGCTGTGCAGCAACATGCAGAACACAAATGACACACAGTAAACATTTCAGTTTAGTACATTTATTAATTAATGTATCACAATATCACAATGCAATAATAAAACATTTTCGTGCCCTTAATTATCCTTATTCCACTAACCTTCCACAAATGTGCTGCTGCATGACAACAAGAGCGTTCTGGCCCTGCAATACATGAACAGCCCGATGTCTGTACTTTACCTGTCACTGATGCTAGAACCCAAGCCTTATGATGTGATACGTGTAGGCTCTGGCTCGGCTCAATGTCAGCTTTAAGATACACAAGTTCGTTTCCGATGTCCTTAAATAATACCCGGCCAACTTTATTACTGTGTAGATACTGATGTGTCTCCGAGCTTTTCAAATTGCTCAACGCTTTACTATCACAGGCTACTGAATCTACAAAACAGCTAAAAATGCTACTGTACGTGATACGAGGCCACCACTTCTTCATGTCATCCTCCCAACCATCTACTGTGGAGGGTAAAGGTACTGTTATTTCACCCTTTTTAATCTCGTTGAGGTTGTATTCCCACATCGTTTGCTGAATGACTGTTAACTGTTGAATGAATGAGTGTCAAGTCGCACTTGCCGCTTTGTTTACTTCGAACCGGAAGACGCGCCCACTTTTGACGCAAGGCCTCATGTGGTGTAGGAAACTTGTGGATAAGTTGTAATCAGTGGTGTAGTGCAGGGTATACAGGTATAGGCTATCCACTTTGTTTTCAGTCGGCATTGCTTATACCCACATTTAAATCCCCTCTGATGCGCATCATTTAGTTGTTATCCAATCTCGTGAATAAAAAAACACCCAGTCGTTGTACCCCCTAATCTATATAGCCTACTCTATTTTTTTTTGCTGCAATATTCTCTCATCGTGACGATAACTGCCCTTCTCATCTGATCTTCAGCACTCAAACACCCGCTCGTCAATGTCCAAATGTTTTAGTAGGGACGCTAGTTACGTGTCCCTACCAATATCCAGTGACACTGATATATCCCTAGCAATAATTTTGATCAAAACTTTTTGCAGGATTTTTGTTCACAGAAGCGCGAGCCGAGCGCTAATCCAAACGCGACGCTTCACTTCAGTTAACGATCATACAGTGCGAGATAAAAATGCAGCTGAAATGTACGGCTGTTTAAAATATAGAATAATAAATAATAATAATAATAATAAAATATATGTTTTTAAAATATAGGCTAGAAGTTTTAAATGGCCGACAGAAATAATCAGTTTGATCAAAGATAATTGAAAATATAAGCTCAATTTAAGTAATATATTGACAAACTATATATCATTTGAAAGCTTACAATCTCTAGTTTCCATATTTGTTGACTGATTTTCAAAATAATTTACACAGGAGCCGTAATTTATCAATTTGTAACAAGAATATTTTCATGCTCATAAAGCGTGTTCAGACCTTTATTTTGAAATAGCAATGAACATGAAAAATCATGAAAAAAAGTTAGAAACCTCAGTTTGATTTCATGCCAAGAGTTCAAAAGATTGCACCCATTCAATTATTTTAGAAAAAAAGGTCTGAACATGTTGTAAATATCACTGAAAAAAATCACCATTTGTGTTATGGCAATAAGCTATAACGCGTATGTGTGTTCTTTGTATGTGATTCTTAGAGGTTGAATTCATATCAAAATCTGCCAAACTTGCATCTTCTGAATAGGATTTCTACTTCATAAATTGTGTCAAATTTAACACATATGGAAACAAAACACATATGGAAATAGAGGCGCCCTCATATGGGCAGTAATGGAGTCTGGTTGTGCCCTAGTGAAAAAGTTTGGTTCTGCGCCCAAACTAAGGGTGTATTCACACCAGTTCACTTGCTTTGGTCCGGACCAAATACATTTTTTTTTTTTTTTTTTTGGTACGGTTCGCTTTCACACTGCTCTTTTTGCAAGTTAACCAAAATTTGTAAACCAAACCACACGTGTGCTAAGGTCATCCATTCATTGGACAAGGATTCTCAAGGGAAATCAGGAAGTGCAAAAAAGGCTCAGCATGGAGATATTTCCATATATTTCATACTGCAATATTTGTTCTTTTACTAATTTTGTGTTAATTCTGTACAAACGCAATATGAAGAAACTAATGAGTATCATATGATACAATGTCATCTATACGAAGTTGTAATTCGGATTTTGAGAAGACGACGAGTGTAACGTTTGAGTGGCTCTATAAACGCGGGGAAATACAACAACTCTCGTCTCTCGTGCATCTTTTCATTCGACCATCTACTGTTTTTTTTATCTCTGGGCAACATCTCAACTTTGCGTTACAAGTGGCACTTCGCAGAAGACGGAGAAGGTATAAAGTTTTCATTCATAGAGAGGGGCTATGTTCACTCATTCAAATAATGAGATTCTTATTGTGTACTAACAAGTGCTGTCAATGTTAACGCTTGCGATTAAGTTTGTCCAGTAAATTAACGCATCATCATCCTTGTATTGTAACTATCCTTACATTAATAATAATAATAATTCATTACATTTATATATAGAATTTTTCTCGGCACTCGCTTTAAGGGGGAAACTCGTCAACCACCACCAAAAGGTGGTGAACTGCAAATGCTTTATGAACTGCAAATGATTTTTTTTTGCATCTTTGCGCGATTAGACATTCACACACGATGCGCAGAAAGACGTGCAATATTCTCTTTCGACGCAGTGCTTTCTTGCAATTGGGTCGGTTCATGTTCACACCGTAAACGAACCGTACCAGAGTTCGTTTGGAACCGCACCCCGAGTTCGATTGCTGTATTCACACCTGCCCAACAGGTCCGCACCAAGGGGGCAAACGAACTAGAGTTCGATTCAATCGAACCAAACAAGGCAGGTGTGAATACACAGATATCAACCTGAAAATTTGAAACACAACTTGTTCAGATTTTTGGCTTTGATTTTTCTGCAGTTTTAGAGTAGCCCAGGTTTTGAAAATATATATTTTATATAAAATATGAATAATTATTTTTTTTTTACATTGTACATTTCCATAAACTCTAACTTCTATAACTTTTTTCTGTTTCACTTTCTTAATTTATTTCACTTAGAGAAAAATCTGCCAAATGTCTTCTTTAATAAAAAAAAAAAAAGGTCTTATTCACCACGGAGTGGGCATTTATTAATGCCATCTTAGGTGGAGGAATAGGGACAGGAGAAGAAGACACTCTCCTCATTCAGCACAAATTCCGCAAGTTACTCCTTGTCGCCGAGAGCAGAGGCCAACTCGGTGGAGATCAGCCCGAGCGATAGGACTCGGTGCAGGGGAAGAACAGGACGTAGCCACTGGTAATCCGAATCCAGTGGGCGCCAGGCAGCAGAGCTGCACCGAGATGACTCGTGTGAGGAATTAGAGTAAATGCCAGCATGTAGATGAGCCCTCAGTTTTACGATATATCTTCCAGGGTTTCCTCATTTCCCCCTTCGCTCCTACGCAAGATGTTGAAAGGCCACCAGCAGATATCATGTGGGATAACTATTTTGAGCAAATGTGTTTTGTAGAAGGGCCAGTCCACCTCCAAGGTGTTAGAGAGTCGAAAATGAGTCCACAGAGATGCGGATGTCTAGGAGAGCTTGACGATCGTAGACGTAAACTAGAAGCATACATCACTTTAGAGACACCGCAAACAACCAGAGAAGCAAACACGAGAGCATCAGATGGCATACTAAACACACAGCTGCCATCTTGAATCAGACACGTCCAATCAATCTTTCGAGACACACACATGAGCCGGGGATTCAGAGGAAAAAATATTTTGTTTCTTGCCCTTACAGTTAAAAAGGTATTAGCTGAAACGTACGTGCTATTTTAAACAGTTGGTGAAGCTAGTGACCCCAATATTGTTGTTGTTAATGCGGAACAAAATCACGTCAAGTTGTATTTGCATTATTAATTTCTTAATTTTAAAATTCTTACCAATATTCAGCCAACTTTGTCAAATAATGTCAAATTGGTTACACAAACAGCACAGTTTTGACACAACTTCTATAGAGCCTGTCAGACAGTAACCGCACTTGATCACAAATAATTATGGAATCGAACATTTCCTCTGAAATTAATCATTTCTGTTTTTGTTTTTTTGGGGCTTTATTAATGTCACTTTCCCTATATCAAGGATTTTTGCATTTGTCCCCTCAAACACATATTAAGCACCACCCCTTTCTGTTTCCTTCCAGTGTGAGTGTTGTAAAACGGGTGATGATAGTCCAGGGCTCTCTTTTGCCGTGCCTACGGCATGTCATGAAGTGGTCGGCTCAACTTCTCCTGCTGATCCTTCTGGTCTGGATGCTGCTCTTCTTTGCTGTATATTCCTACTTCACTGACTCCCAGGTGAACCTGCCCCATAGGACGACTTCCGTCTTCAACTATAAATCTCAACAATCAACCCATGTTCAGCGTAGTCCCCGGGCCATCATGGCATCCCATAATGCCCCCTGGGGTATTTTTGCAGAGAAGAGTGGTCCTTTCCAGCACGTGTTTCAAACTCCTCGTGCTATGAAAGAGTTTAATTTCAGAAATTTTGGCAAACGTCGGAAAGAGTTTAGGAAGAATGTGATAAAGCCTCCTGATCCTGAATTTTCCAACACCTGGTCGGTGGTCCGTGGTCTGTGGAAGGGACAGGTGTCCTCCAAATTGCTAGGCCAACGACTGCAGCAAGCCATAAAGAACTATGTTATCTCTAATAAGTACAACGTTCTCTATAAAGGCCAACGTAAAGCAAACAAGAGTAGGCAGGAGATACTGTGTCAGATAAAAGAGCAAGCTCAGCTGAGGACTCTGAATAGCTCTGAACAACCCTTCGCTCACCTAGAATTTCAACAGCTGGTTCCTCCTCAACTGCAGCAGGCATACAGGACATGTGCCGTGGTGACTTCGGCCGGGGCAATTCTTAACTCGTTACTGGGGCATGAAATTGGTGAGTTGGGTGGGGAAAATATGCACATAATACAGTACACAACTACCAGTCAAAAGTTTGAAATTTAGATATTAAAATGTTTTTGAAGAAGTATTTTATGCTTTCTAAGACTGCATTTGCTGAAAAAAAACCCAGCAATATTGTGAAATATCATACTGATAACTGATAAAAGATAACTGCTTTCTATTCATTTTCGAATGTAATTTTTCCTGTGATGATAATTACATTTTCAGCAAACATTACTCCAGTTGTCAGTGTAACACGATCCTCCAGAAATCAATCTCATATGCTGATTTGGTGCTCAAAAAACATTTCTTATTGTTGAAATGTATTCTTATCATTGTTGAAAACTTTTTTTGCTGCTTAACAGTTTTGTGAGAATCATGACGAGACACATTCATGTAAAAGTTTGGGGTAAGTTATTTTTCAATAAGGATACATTACATTTATCAAAAGTGATAGTAACGTCATTTATGATGTAAGAAAATATTTTTATTTTAAATAAATGCTAATCTATTGACCTCTCTGTTCATCAAGGAATCCTAGAAGAAAAATCATGGTTTCCACAAAATAGTAAGCAGCAAAAAAAAAAAAAAAAAAAAAAAAGACAAGAATTCTAATAGAGCTGTTGTAGTAATGCATATCTATTTGTTCCTCTATCCATATTCATCTTTCAGATTTCACTTCCAAAATATTATTTCTGTTTTAAAAACAACCTATACTGAACATAATATTCAACAGGAAATTTTCGGTCCTTTTTATTTCGCTTTACAAATTCGCTTCCACAAATTCAATGGTTCAAATACGATAGAAAATTCAACATTTCACTTCCGGGAACGCAGAAATATCAGTAGATTGCCCATTAACAATCTCCATAGCTGTTAGTCGACCTCACCAGCTGGGGGGTGCAAGGAGCTGTTGACGAAGAAAACTATAAAGCAACGGATGAGAGAATCATTCATTCATAAAAACGGATTTACAAAAATGGTGCAAGCGGTAAATATTTAGGATTATCAGGGCCAGTATATATATATATATATATATATATATATATATATGGAAAAGCTGATAAAGACACAAAAGCTGTGTTTAAATTTAAAGGAGCATTTCATCCATTGAAACATTAATCTTTATTGAAAGTGGATCATATATGTAGTTGAAATGTAACATATATTTTTTTTTAATTTGGTGCCCTCTTGACCGAGAAAAGACAGAAAATTACCAAGGGGCGCATTTGTATGAAAGGCTACAGGTCCCACAATGCACCGCATTGAACAGCTCCGCAAGCCACACCCACTAATCCGGAAGAGCGCAAACAGAGCCTGTGTCCGAAATCTCCCACTACTCACTATATAGTGGACTATCTAGTGAGCTCACCATTTTGTAGTGCTGTCCGAATGTATAGTGATGATTATTATACCCTAATATATAGTCCACTCAATGTATTCCAGAATGCATTTTGAAAAGTAGTGTACAACCGATGGTCACTACCCCAAGCCCTACATACCATAATGCATTGCGCTGATCGTAAAAAAGATGGACGGGCGACAGCAATGACGTAATCAACGACGTCGAGGGACGATCGACTAGTGTCCGAAAGTGGTGTTTCTATTATGCTGGTGAGCTCACTATATAGTGTTCTACTCCCTACCCCCTACATAGGAGGTAGGGAGTAGTGGTTTGAGTGGAGATTTCGAACACAGCCAGAGAATTCACTCTTCCGTCTAGAAGGCTAACTTTAGCTGTCACCAGAGTTTGAAATTGATTTCACACAAAATGTCTAGTTGGCTGTGGTGAGCAGGACGATCAAGGGCAAGGGACGTAAGAGGACGCGTGCTGCGCGAGGCCAGTGGCGTGAGTGATAGACACCTGTGAGGCGCGCGCCGGTCTCGCATTTCTCACGGAGGAGCGAAAGCATAAAATGGGGAGTGACGATCGACAGATCGCGAGAGAAACAGGCCTGATTTTATGATGTTTTGTTTCTGTTGTGTGTAACGTTACAGCAGTCATCAATGAGGGGCTGTTGGCTTATACTTTTGTTTTGTATTTGTATTTGTATTTGAGTCATCCACTCAAAGTCTGTGTTCTGACGATTCATGCTACCCATCCAGATTTGCTACTTACCCGGTTATGCGCATGTGCAGACTCACAGTTTTTTTTTTGTTTGGTTTTTTTTTTTTTTTTTACAAAAGGTACATTTTCAATGTATAATTTCCCTTTAAAAAATTCTTACTACCATATGAATATTTGTACGGTCGGCCAGCTGAAAAAGAATAACTGAAAGTTTCAGTTACTATGAGGAAAGGTGTACTTTGTCAAGTCAAAGATGAATATTTTATGATACGTTTTACTTTTCACACCGTTTTAAAAATAAAAACAGTAGTCTACAGTATACAGTAGCTACTCATAACTTAGAATTGTATTATAATTGTATAACATACGACTTTAATCTGCATTCTGTGATCAATTCGCGCCACGGTAGCATTTTTCTAGCCTGGCTGCGCCCTCCTACGCACTTCCGCTCAATTTCATTTCCCTTCAGTACTGCGTCTGCTGTGTATCCTTAGGTATCCTTAGGTTTCCAGAAATCATTTTTTTGTAGGACCAATCAGCGAATAGAAGGAGTTGCTGAGGACGATGACGTTGATGTAAGCGCGTCAGTTTCAGTTCAGTAATGGCAGCGGAGAAAGACGTGAGAAAAGCTATTTGGTCCGTTGTTGGAAAAGAAACTGCTGAATATACAGAATTTAAAGCCGGATTGTTATCGTCTCACCTCTTGTTGCACAACGGAGGACCAAGTGAAGGAGGAAGAAAGTTTGGAAGTTTGTGCTGGGCAGCTCGGTGTGCACGATGATCGTGACATTTTGGACGGACGGTTTAGCCTGGTGTTCAGAAGCCCCGAGTCCTGGCTGCTAAACTATTGTTGAAGATCCGCTCAGGAGTCATGTCAGTCGCTCATATTCCCAACTGTAAATTTACTGATTCTTGGGATGAATAGAACATTTTGAGCCCCTTTGTGTACTCGTGCAGGAGGTTGGTGTGTCAGTTTTACATGTTGTAAATCATACAAATTGGTTGTGATTTTTTAAAAATAATTGTCATAAATAAAAATGTGAAAACCCATACTTTGAAGATATTTGATTTTCAGTTTTACATGGCAATGGTTGATTTGTTTTAATAATAAAAAAAAAAAAACTAAATGCCACATAAAAATTTTTATGTGGCATTTAGTTTTTTTTTTTTTTATTAAATGTACAAACACATACTTTGAAGACCATAATTAAGGTAATTAAGAAACAATAAGACGTAATATGAAAAAATTTTGTTTATTACACGTCTGCAGATAGAGACAGACTGATCATTCACTGTAGCTGCAACAGCATTTGCGGCAGATCAGAAACGACCACAGCTGCGTATTTGTAATGATTAGACACAGCTTCCACTGTTGAATGAATATATCACTGTCCTTCGTGTCAAATATACATTTCGAATTAATAATTGTTCCTAGATTAACAAAACCTGCAGCGCTCATTGACTGAAATCCTATTGTAAACATAATCCTCTGATCATTCGGACTTGTTGTTTCCAGCCATTTCGGCGCGTGACATACGTCACTCACGAGCACACGTTAGCGATTGGCTATGGCAGATCGTGAGTGACTTTGGGCAGATCCAATAGATTTGAACTTTAATAGTGAACCCGCCTACAAGGAAGGAAGCGTTTCTCAATGAAGCGATTCCAGATTCTATGTGCAAATGAAACGAGGCAGCAAAAATCGAACACCGGCTCGCAGTCGCAAGCCGAAACGTGTGTGTGTGCGGCGTGCCTGTTGTTTTGTTTTCGTTCTAGCTAGATCCGCTTGCGCTTTGGTCGAAGAAGCAACAAAACGTCCTCGCGCAGCGCCAGACATTGAAATGAATGGGTTTCAGAGCGCAGCGCGAGGACGTTTTGTGCCGCACACACTCGTTTCGGCTTGCGAGCCGGCCAATTGTTACGTTTTGAGTGGATGACGAGTGCGAGACGCCGAAATGGATGCCGTTATAAGATTCTGAATGGAAAGTTTACTTGTAAAAAGTTGTCAAATTATCCCACTGACAAGACCAAAGTGATCTGTGTGTTTTGTCGTTAAAGGGTTAGTTCACCCAAAAATGAAAATTAAGTCATTAATTACTCACCCCCATGCTGTACCAACCCCGTAAGACCTTCGTTCATCTTCGGAACACAAATAAAGATAAGTAATTAATGACTTAATTTTCATTTTTGGGTGAACTAACCCTTTAAGAACTGAGCTATCATCATCGCAGCACGTCCAGTCTGAAACACCACTTGATGATGGCCAAGCAAACATACATGGATAATGCGAATTCTCCACCCCCTCGTCAATATCAGGACCGTCAGCATTTCTTTCACCCTTTTATTGCTGGACAGTGTTACATTGTGTGAGAGATTATTTTGTGTGAGAGATTATTTATATATGTTAGTGTGAAATTGAACACTATTCCAATGTTATTTTCAATAATAATAATAAAAAAAAACATTTGCACTAAACAAGCCAATCCACTTTTCCATGTTGATAAGAGCATTAAAATAAGAAAAAATAATGTAACAAAAAGAAAAAAAAGATAATTTAGAATAGATAAAAATGTGCGATTAATCGCGAGTTAACTATGACATTAATGTGATTAATCGCGATTAAATATTTTAATCGTTTGACAGCACTAATTTGTTAATTTTACTATTAAAATGTTTAAATGTTCGCCGGTTTCTGCCTCCTTCCCACAACAACAAACCCCATTCACGTTACATTGGTCAATACAAAGTCAATACAAAGACGCGTTACGTGCGTAAAAATTCCTGCGGCGTGAATGAGGCGTAGAGCGTGGCTCGGTAGACGCAAATACGCCTCATTTGCACGTCAAGTTCGTGCGAATGGTGCGAATCGAGCGTGCCGCGTTAACCAAACAGGAGCCCAGCTGCTTGCTCACGGGGTGACGTATCTG